GTGGGTGCAGGGGCGCCGAACCCAAACCCGCCCTCCTTGCCACCAAAGACAGCAGGCTTGTCCTTGCTCGCGTCGTCCTTCGATGTCACTGTCGCTGTGGGTGCAGGGGCGCCGAACCCAAACCCGCCCTCCTTGCCACCAAAGACAGCAGGCTTGTCCTTGCTCGCGTCGTCCTTCGATGTCGCTGTCGCTGTGGGTGAAGGAGAGCTGGGGTGAACAGGACTTTCCTTACTATTATTTTTGGAGGGCATATTTTTCCTATAGTTGTCCTGCTTTTTTGAAGGACGGTTCACAGTAGCACAGTCAGTATTCTTTTTTCCTGACTGAGAACTATTATGGTCAGTAATCTTCGTAAATTGTGGAGACTCATGCTCACTCTCTGATCCTAAAAGAGGAGCCACAATTTGTGGATTTGTCCAGCTGTTGTAGAAAGGGACTTGACACTCAATATACTGCGGAGTGTAACCCACAGCAAAAGAATTTTGATTACATACTTTCCCTTTTACAAGGCGTTCAGAAGGGCTATCGATGCAGGGTCGAATCTTCTTACATTGTATAAATAGGCTGTCGATGCCACTAAGGAGAGATCCTACAGAAGGCCTTTCAGTTTTGAGAAAGCTTTGACTTCGATCAGGGAACAGCGTGTCCAAATGTTTCTCACGGAATTGTTCAATGGTATGGTTCAGTATTGGCAATTGGATAGTAGTTAAAGTATTTACGTCATTTCTTAGTGCTTGAATCTTTCCGCACAATTCTTGTATAGCATCGACCTTTAAACTCGAAAGGTCACAGGCATTTTCGCAAATAACATCAAGTCGACTTGGTGGAGGCATAATTATTAGAATGAATACAGATATTAATTAATCCTTAGGTTTTACCTTTTTTAAAGAAAGGGAAGGCGTAGATGGTTAAAATTAAGTGTCATGAATCTGAAATTAAGCATAAAGCTATTAACTTTGGTGGGGTAAATAATGAAGAAGGGAAATTATAGGCTTAGTTACAAAATTCGATGCTTAGAGTGTCGGCTTCATAGTTTCATATCTGCTAGTAACCTTGTTTAACATTTCAAGTATAAGTTCATTACTTTCAAATTCTCTTTACCTTCTTTAATGCAGCGAAGTGACCTATTTTTACTAATACAAAGAATTCTAGACCTTAAAGTAAATAGTGTGAAACCTTTTCTTCATTCGAACGCATTTGAAAGGTGTCGTGAGGCAAAGCTTTGTTGAACAGATGTCGATTGAGTGATTGCATGGTAAGAGTCGTTGCTTTCAAGAGACGCTCTTTGCGTCACGGTACGCAGAAAATCTAATGAAATATCAGTGACCAGCCTTGAAATTTCTTTGCGAATTTCCTCAAACCCCTTCTCAATCCTTTTATCAAGCCCAGTTAATACTTCACCCTTGACAACTTCTATCGCCTTCGAAGTCATTCGCTCAATAACTTGCGCATTCTCCTTAATTGTGCAATTCAGCTCCTGCATGCGGACATCCAAAGTATTTGTTATCATAGAAGCCACTTTGTCACCTTTTTCAGATACTAAGTCTGAAACACTGCTGCGTAGGTCTAATATCGCTGTGTCAAAATCAACCTTCATTGACTTTACAGCGGCCGTTGCTTCTTCACGCATTTTTTCAACTGCATTGTTTGCAACATGGCTAAAATTTACATGATCCATGTCGTGTTCCTTTCTCTGACTATCCACCACTTTCAAGAAGTGATTGTCATTAAATGAGGGTTTAGACCCTGCCTCAGGTTGTAGAGGTTGAGCATACACAGAGTTTTTTTGTGGTGTAGACTTCTGCTGAGCGAGTGCTTCGTATTCTACAGATGTGCCATTGTGATGTGTCGAACTTGTAGACGCCTCAACAGAGGTCTTAGTTAATGTGATATGCGTTAGTGACTCAGTTTGGGCGCTGACTCCAGCGGGACAAATAAAGGTTTGCTTCTTGCCGCAGGGCCAACAATCAGAGCGGACCTCAGTCCGTCCAACAAGATGAGGCCCATGTAGATCCTTAACTTTGTTGCAGACCTTGCATCGCCAAACATCACCCCCTACGTTATCCACAGATTGAGATGGCGTGGCTTTGGCAGAACAATCCGCACTGATTCCAATTATACTTTCGGGTTTGAAGCTGGAAACTGTATTTTTAACTGGAAGTTGCGTTGCCGCTTCGCTTGTTCCAGTACCGTGAGTTTTCAATTCATTACAAGGTGTTGAAATCGGTAGCTCTGCAATAATGAAGGATGCCTCAGCGCCCTCTGACGGTATTGACGGCGGTCTAAAATGCTCCGGTGGATTGAAAACTGAAGGAATCGAAGTAGTCGGGGCCTGAGATTTAGACAAAACGCTCTTATTGCTGCTACTCTTCAGATTTTCTGAGCTAGAATTCAAAAAGGTTTGCTTCTTGCCGCAGGGCCAACAATCAGAGCGGACCTCAGTCCGTCCAACAAGATGAGGCCCATGTAGATCCTTAACTTTGTTGCAGACCTTGCATCGCCAAACGTATTCTGAGGTATCTTTCGTGTCGGTCTTGGTTCCACCTTCAAGAACAGTTGAGACATTTGGGAGTGTTTCGGTAGCCTTTTCCTTAATCGATAATTCATTTGCTCGTATATCGGAATCTTTTTTTGCTACAAACGAATCGTTAGCGACTAACTTTGACACAGTAGCACCGTCATTGGTACTTCCGCGCACGTTGGGCCCGGAGCGCACAAACGTTTGTTTCTTGCCACATGGCCAACAATCAGAGCGGACTTCTAGCTTGTTATTAAGATGAGTTCCCTTTAAATCCTTGATTTTTCCGCAAACCTTGCATCTCCATACATTCTCCTCTAGTTGAGGCTTCTTAGCCAATGCTTCAAATCCACCAACTGACTTCGAAGTTTCGTTGAATTGAGTATTAGTGGTAGTTCTGGAAGTGGGTGCAGTATTATCATTAGAGGGTACTAGTGGCTCATTTGGTTTCTTTATTTCAGTAACAGATGTAGACTGAGTAGAAAAGCCAAGAGGCATAACTGGTGAAGTTGCGCTGTGTTGAGAAACATCCTTAATCGTTGATACTTTGTTAAAGGGATTGTCCATGGATGTTGCAAACAAATTCCCCTTTGATGATGATACATTGAAGCTTCCTTCTTTTGACACAACCGTACTCATAAATGGCTGCGCCGGAGCTTTAGCGGATGCATCGACAGGGGCAAATGCGCTTTTAAACGGTGACTGCGCCGGAGCCTTAGCGGATGCATCGACAGGGGCAAATGCGCTTTTAAACGGTGACTGCGCCGGAGCCTTAGCGGATG